CCAAGTAGTCGCTATCTCTACAGGAGCAGTTAAGTTGATAACTGCACAAAGATGTGGCCAGATTCAGTAGTCTATCCTTCAACTGCATTGTGTCATACAGTGAGTAGAAAATTTCAAACATGGTGGCGGCAAAAAAAGTTTTTTTGCATCAGATTTCTAAGTTTCCGTGTCAGCTTTTCTGTAGCTGCATCCCCTTTGAAAGGTAAAGTTAGACAACTGTTTCTTTGATATCATATCTGAAGTCATTTTCCTACAGCCGTTTTTATTGTTACAGTTCTTACGAACTTCTCAGGATAGCCATACTCGTATAAGGAGCTCTCTATTATTCTTATTTCATCATTCAAAGTATCAGCTGTGAAAATCTTACTGGCTCGAAACATCAGTGTACGAATTAAATTCCTTTTGTATGCAAGAGAGACAAATGATTGGAAATGTGTATGTTGACAGATCCATGACTACCAACAAATAGTATAGAACGATAGGTTGCACCAAGTAAGTTATAAGTACTTTAAAATTGAAAGATTCGACTGCTTTCTTGAAGGAATAAGCTCATAAGTGGAATATCTACAAGAAATTAGCCAAGAAATAAGCCACCAAATGAAATTGATCTTCCAAGGAAAACCTACTGATCCATCCAGGAAATCAAACTATTTAGCAGTAAACATGCAAGCGATGCTTACAATTGATAACACTCGCTGTAATATCCTGAAGATCAGAAAAGTGCTTACAACTACAACTAGAACATAAAGATAGGATTGTCGTGCTGAATTATTCTGACCAACAGTTTAATTTAAGCAAAATAACCAAACCTCGGCACAACAGGGACAATTTCCTAGTAAGAAATTCAAATTAGATACATTAGATAATCAAGTTCCTGAATCGTGAGGTAGTCAAAATTAACCACCAAGAGGGAGACTAGTCAACAAACCAGTTACAAATTCTGAAAAACCCACTTTTACGAAAGTCAAGAAGAAGTCACGAATAAAATTATAAGTATACTGGGAATATCAAAGCAGTGAATAACATACTGAAGTTCCGAATAACTTTCGGTGATAAATATCGGTCGCTTAACACCACAACGAACTGTGTAGGAAACTGAGACACAACTTAGTCACATTTCATACCTTAATTGACAAAAACTAGTCAATATTAAGACAAGAAAATAGATAAATACAGAGACTCATACAGTAATAGACCAATTTAAGTTGTTATACTACATCAAAGAAAAAAACCCAACACAAATGGAGTGATATTAAATTAGACAAAAAAGATAATGAGAGAAAGAAGGAATAAATAAATGCAGATTAGCGAAGTCGTTAAATTTATGAAGACGATAAAAAGTGAACACACCCACGTCACAGTGATCGAATTCCAGTCAAAAGCTTGCCTTTATTATCCAACCAAACACCTGACTTTAATATTTCTCACTGTAATTCCACTATAAGAAAACATCTATTTCTTACTTTTATCAATGCTAACCATGGATTAATGTGGTACAGTAGGACAGAGACGACTGCGGTGTAGCCTATTTACAATTCAACTGGCAGATTAGTACTTAGACAGCGGTTTGGCAAATGAAAGCTGTAGTATCCCATATGAAACTCATCAACTATTAACCGCGTCAATAGTAGTCATCTAGCGATACAGTTAACTAAGTGCAACTACTTATTAAAATGTTCCCTATTATTATGATTACTAAAAACAATCATGCGAGTATATGCAAAAAGCTTCAAAACTTTAAATGTTCTTTACCCAGTCGACATTCTCAAATCCATGAACAGAATTTAAACGGATCTTTTTTGAACTTTCTTCATCTTCCTTTTTGATATGATTACCATTACTGTATATTGAAGACTTTAGTCGAGTTGAAGTAATATGCATTAAAGTGTCAACATCCATGATATCATCGTCTGAAAGTAGTTTAGGGCATATTTTGTCGCCTTCGAAGGTTATGGAAATGATTTCGTCTGGCTTATAAGATGTTTTTGCCTCAGCATCACAGTTCGTAATCTCTTTTGTTAAACAATGAAACAGATAATTTATAGGACCTTGCAACACTTCTCGATCAGTTGAATAACTCATACTTGTAGGAGTGCGAAGAACACATGACGTGTATGCAGACGAATTCTCATTATTTAAATCTAAGAAACATCGTTGATTTATGTCTGCCGTTGCTTCACCGAAATAACACACTGGTATTCGGTCTAAACGTGCTGTATGCTGTGAGTATTGGGATGCACATGCGTTTGATAATGCAAAACGATTGGAATCTGTAGAATTTGTCGTAAGCGGTTCCGTTAAATCATATTCGACAGAAGCTAAGAAATATTCAGTTAGATTTTGTTCAATCTATAAATCAAAAAGGAAAGCAACTGGTAAATACATAGAATTTCATAACCAACAGAACAGTACACGAAAACTCAATAATCTCCTGCTCTGATGTATGGAAAAATGTTTCAAAAAAAACTGAATTCGGTATTCATATACATCAGATACTTTGCTATGAGACCAAAATATGATGTAAGATTTAACAAGATGATCCAGTTATTCACATCATAATTGATACAGTAAGATCCAAATCCATTATTCTACTGCTGGTAATATAACTTAAGACCACTGATTGACATAGATAATACACTTGAAAAATAAGTGCGAAAGCACGTACAAAGCCTAAACGAAAAAAGCATACCAAGAACGGATATTTGTTAAGGTCAATAAAACTCAGACAACTGTGTCCTGATTACCCTTTAAACAGACAAAAAATAAAGAATCTACAGACATAACATTGAAAGTATGGAGACATTTTCTTACCCAAAAAGAACGTCAGTAAACACATAGTACGGTTGCGGACTACTTGGCTTACACACTCGGTTATCAACTGCAAGACCATAAATGTAACCTCAATCCCACTTACCAAGGTTTCAGAAGACTAGTGGTGTTATTGTGTGCAGCCGTGGCTCATTGCTTAGGTAGTTAACTTTCGATCAGAAAGTATCGGGTTCCGACGTGAGTTCACCCACCGAGGTTTAAGCAGTCAGTCAGTATCACTAGCCCTCAGACAGGTGTGGCTCATTGTCAAAGTGAACAAGGCTGAGTATACTTTTTGTTGTTCATTCGTAATGGTGTTATTAGCTTTCACACAACAGGTGTCTTTTACACCCCATGAATAAAATCTCAGAGCGATTGCGCACTATATATATACTAATGCTCAATTTAAAAGTGCAGTATATTGGGATTCTCTGTTGACATAAGCACTGTTTAAATGCTGCTTGACCTACCCTATCCTTGGACGACGTAACAGTATCTACAATTTGATGAATGCATCAGTACGACTCATTAGCGCTTAGGTTTTTCTTCGTTAGTTTTAATTAAAAGGTAAAGTAAAAAAATAAACTGATTAACTTACTGGATTCCCACTTAAATCAATTAGCTGTTTTCTGACCTCTGATTCCATATCATCCCAACAGGCTAGAAATGTAAAGGTGAAATTAATGTATATAACAACTGCACTAAAATGGACCGAGCAGTAACATAGTTAAGATATGTACACACATATATACAGATATAAGAAGGAATAAGAAGCGGACAATGACAACATTTACTCTTTTAAAGAACCACCAGGAGGAAACTAACGACGGACAATGTCAATCATAAAAATGAGTTTTCTGGATGAAATTCAGAATCCTACAGTGTGGACAGAAAGCAGACAGACAAACAAAATCAACGTCAAACCTCACACACTTCACAGCAGCATGCAGTGGAAACCAGCTAAAGCATTGTTAGCAATTGTCAAACACTTGACGTATCGTGCATACATGAACACAAAATAAAGATTTAGCACAATCTGTACTATTACAAACATGGAAATGTTACCTTGGACTGAGGACGTGCAGTCTAGTGATTCACCAGTTACTGGCTTCTGTTCGTTCTTTTCATGATCCTCGTCTATCTTTATGTTTAATTTTTGTTCTTTGGGTTTTGTTCTCTTAGGGTAAATCTGAGTAACCAAATCCAGGACAGCTTCAACATGAAATTCTATACGAACAGACTGATTAGATGGGATACATAACAATTTCTCATCAGAAGCAGGATTTAATAATCTATTTGACTTCAAGAGTAAGCAGCTGGGGACAGGATGTAATTCTAACCCAGTCTATAGTGAAAAACAAAGTCAATAATCACGAACAAAAAAATGTAAGTAATAAAACAAATAAGATTCTCGGATAAAAGACTTTTAGCACTATAAGATAATATGTTACTTGCATATGCTAAGATACTAGACTACTATAGCCAATCAGACGAAGATATGAGTTAACTTCGATCATAATAGGGTAGAAATGTATCCATCCTTCACACTACAATAATTATTGTACATTTTATTTGTTCACTTCTTGTAATTCCCCTCTTTTTTAAGTACTGCTTCCTAGGCCTTATTATCATCCTGTGGCTTTTTTGTTGCACTCCCCCGTGATCTTGAGCACTGCGGTGACAAGAGCCAATGCATCAGTTAACCAGGTTACAGAATGTTCTAATCTATACTTTAAAGGATAGTGAAACAATTTTAGAACTTAAAACGACGGTGAAACAGACACCCGACGTACAAAAACTAAGTAACCCAATTGTTAGAAAAAACTAGTTGGTGATATGAATCCTATTGTGACTTAGGTGGTCAGACGAATATATGATATCAGTTCACGAAACTACTCAACATTAGTGTGTCAGGAATTGTTAGTGACTTGATTGAAGTCTTCCAAAAATCAGGGGGATAAATAGTTCGATATTTTCGATAAAACGGTTTGGTCAATCACAATGATATAAATGTATTTGTTCTTCATTAGTTTCATAATTCTAAACACCTTATTAGAATTTATCTAGTTTCACATCTTTCAATACTGGAATATTTTTTCCACTCCGATCACTTCATTTTTGCGTTATTTTGAAATGTGAAAAGTTGGATGGTTGCACTTTAGGTCGTCTTGAAGACTTTTTTAAATTCTACTTTAATTTCAGCTAACATCTTCACGTACATGAACTAATGTTCATATTAAGTTTTTGAACGTAAAATCAACCATATTACTAGCAAGTATACCACTAAGTGTAAAAGTGAAAGGTACCAACATACTCATTAAAGGTGCTGTATGAAAGATGAGCAATAACACCACATATTTCATTCAGATTACTGGCTTACATACATTGATTGGTCACTGAAGAGGAAACCAATTCCATGTTGTCTAGTTATGAGTGCTGACCGAATCTTTACAACTATGTTGAAATGTAGCAAAATAAAAATAACTTTCGAAAATCAATATATATATATATATATATATATATATATATATATATATATATATATATATATATATATATATATATATATATATATAACGTTAATCTAATCAACATAAAAACTTACTTGCCAAGCAAATATCGACACTGGATGATGTGGATAACAATAAATACGATCTGACCATGAATGCAAAGGTACGAATAAGCTTGAAATGTGCCTATTTTCACTGATTTGTACAGAAGACTTGAGATATAATTTTCACCAATAAAATACAAAAAATAAAACAAAAAACGTTTCACTAGGAAGATAAACTAAGGTTTGAATAATTGGTTTTTGGGCGCTATACACACACTAGAATGACACAATTGATGATACCTTTCCCAATCCACTTTATTTCGAACAGAAAATATAACAAATATTACCAATAAATCTTCAGTGTAGCAAAACAGTACAACAAAGTATTGGGATACGATGCAGTTTTTCCAAACAAAACCGTAATAAAGACACCATTGTTAACTACTCAATTATTCTAGATTGACATAAAGATATGAACTCTTTCTGTCGAACTGGTCTCTACTGCCAACCATCAAATATAACTCAACACCTTGCGCAATCGAATTTCAACGAAAGTTATGTATTCAAATTCTGCTTGGTTTATTATCGTGTGAATGCATGTAGGTACTATAGTCAGCCATCACAATGGTTCCGGCCTATAACTTGGAAAATAATTTGCAATTATTGAATTATACTGCTTTCCAATTATTTCAGTGTACAAAAACACAAAATTCACCTTCGGCATTAAAGAGCTTTTAATCTCATTAGGCTAAACCATCAATAGTTCAGATATGTATTCGCATAGTTAAAGAGAATTTGTGCCAAACAGTGCATTGAACAGAATAACCCATTAGGTCAGCTGCCACCGAGGAATTATACCACGACCCGCCATGATCGCGTTATTTGGTATGAAAACAGTGAATGATTTCCATTACTATGGATTTCTGCACTAATGTACAATGCAATTTTTGAGGTCGTCTGCCCTTTTGAGGACAATGATCAGGTAGTATAAACTTTTCTATACGATTAAGGGAACTTACGAATGGTACCAAATCTTCACTGCAAACTTGTCCTACTTGAGCTAGTACTGCACAATAAAGTAGGTGAGTCATGGTAGGCGCATTATATATCTTAACCATCTTTTTGAATAGGGGTTCACAGACTGATTGACCAGCTTACTATTCTTGCATGAAACTGTGCGCAAAAACTAAGCCCAACTCATCTGATGAATCTATTATTTTTCGTATTTCGCAGACATCTACAATGAAATCCCTTTAAAATTATCATTCTACTATACACCCCTGATTTACAAATGCTTAAAAAACCTTATGACAGGGTTACTCTTGAAATACCTGTTCAGCAGAAAAATATTATACATATGTACGGGCTATTCATCCCTACTCTTCAAAATATACTTTCGATTCATACGAGCATTCTATAATGTTAGTATCACCGAAGTACACAGCATTGGGTAATATAAATAATAATAATAGTTCACATTATTCCAATTTTTTAGTACAATTTGGAATTCTCAGCATGAAATATTGCGACAATCATAAAATATATGTTTGTATATACTCCATTAAAACATTTTGAATCGTGTTATTATAAAAATCTAAGTAATATGACGAATATAAAAAACGAGAACATTTTACATTGTTGATTAAATTATTGAAATGAGATTGTTAACTGCTATGAAGTTGATAAGTGAGTTCTGTTTTAACATTTTCCTCATACAATATGCATGCCAGGTAAGGTACAGTCGAATTCCTGCATTTGGCTGTACGAGCGTACAGTCTGATGTAGTTTCTTCTTGTCCTTCCGGAGGAGATACAAGAAGAGGGCTGAGAATGAAGTGGACGCTCAGTCTCAGTTTAAAAATACTGTAGTTAAAATTCAAATATCTATCAACTACGGTGTTAATCAGTTGGATCAGAGGCACAGCACTCGCCCTACTGACAGCTTTCAAAGCTATACGCAATATAACATAGTCCTTTTTTAGAAGATCAGGAAAGATCAATGGGGAACAATATAGAAGAATAGGTTAAATACAGAAACTAAAAAATTGTAAAAGTAGAGGCTGAGTTATACCAGAAACGCTCAGTTTCTTTACGAAATATGTTCGACAAAGGTCAGAAGTAAAACTCGGTCCAATGCAGTTAAGACTCGATTTACTTTCTACTGCAACACCATCAATGCAACAAGGGTCATGAGGCTCGAGCAGCTCACGCAAATCTTGTTTACGCTTGAGGCTAAAATTAACAGTCCGACATTTAGAAGGGTTTAACTTGAGACCATTTGAGAGAGACCACTGGTCAATTACAAACAAGAAGCCATTTAATTCAGTGCAATCCAGGTGAGTTAACTGAAACAGAAACCGTCAGGTCATCAGCACACTTCATAAAATTAGTTCCAATAGAATAAGGTAGATCGAGCTAAAGAACGAAACAGAAAAGAAGAAAGTACAGGACCTTCAGAAACATCAGCCCAGTAAGTAATGAAGTGGAGCGCTTCCCTTCATAGACAGTATACTGTTTCCTTTCAGAAAAATACGAAAACAGTCACTTTGTAACCTATAGCTCAGTGTGAGCCATGGAAAGATAATTTAACAAGAGCGGTCTAGGAACAGAGTCAACGGCTGATGAGCAATCCAAAACGGCGTAACGAACATACTTAACACCTTTGTCTAGACTAAAAATAATATTACGCTGCAAGACAGTGACACCACCCAAGGTACTTTTATGTTTATCAGGAAATTGTTTTGCATCTCTAAAAAGTATTAATGAAGGCTCAAGCACAAGGAGAAGTAATTTCTCCATTGTTTTCAAAAGGGGAAGTTATAGCGATGGCTCGATACGTAACATTTGATCCAGAAGATGACTTAGGAAAAGGTACAACTTTGGTCTCCTTCCAAGCAGCGGGTATTGTTTTTAAAAAAAGGATGCACTGAAGATATCTGTAAGGGGACGACATAAAATAACTGCACATTCTCTAAACATAACACTAGAAACACTATCAGGACCTAGGCTTTGGGATGGATTCAAGGATTTTCGACATTTGAATACATCATGTGTATTAGAACCAGGAAAGCAGCTGTCCATTTGATTTTGGATATTGCCGACGTATGAATGACTTGTTTAACACGCAGGCATCCGAACAAGCTCCTTAATTCGGCAGTTAAGTCTTTTAACGCCAAAGTGATCTCTCGTCTTATACAGCCTTTCCTTTTCTCTCCAAAGCCACTTGAGATGAGGACAGGAAAGTGTATCTAATCTCATATTGATTGTTTCAAGTGGGCAGCAATTATCCAAATCTGAGATAGCTTGTGATATTGATGATAGTATTGTCTACAACTTCAACAACAAATAGATCCCAGTCTGTTTCTTTAAGCACGCTTTTCAAGCGTAGTATATTCTCTTGGGAATAGTATCTGTGCTGGACTTTAGTGGAAAAAAATCCGAAAGCCGTATACTATGGGCAAAGCAGAGGTCAGGATTCAGCGGCGGAGCCCGTTTATGGGATACATTTATGCCAGCGTCATTTGTAAATACTAAATGTTGTCAAGACGAGTAGAAGCGTTAACCATACTTTTAAGACCCAATGATACGAGAAAACTACAGCCACATGACTTACAATTTCCGCAGACTATAGAACAGGAGTAACCTAGAATCACAGCAGCAAATCCAGTGAATTAATTAGCAAAAGTTGACAAATCTGAGAAACTGCAGTCAAGTGTGACATAAGCGTCTATGTATATATGTTTCTATTTACTCAAATGTTTAGGACGACATTTAATGGTAATGCACTGAATTTTTACGTCGGGAAAGTAAAAGCATATATAGTTGGAAAAAGACCAGTTTGTTATTGATAAATGTTGATACAAACCCACCACATTTCTTCGTGGAAAAGTTTCTATCTCTCTCTTCGAAATAATTCAAAACCAATTCAGCAGACTAAATCGCCATTATATAGGTTACAAAAACATGGTTCCTGTAGCTTTACTACACCCGTATTCCGATAAACATTTGTGGACAAGAGTAACTAAAGTTAATCCACTTGACTCGGTAACGACCTGCACTTTGTGCTCAGTATTTCCGGAATAGACATTTCATCTATGGTCAGCCACCATGGTGCTTTCTCTTAATTTACCTCACAACTTGTAAAGCGATATATTGTAATGATTTACAAAACGCAAGGCAGTCTGTTATAAGACAAGTTGATATACTTCAACGATTAAAACAATGCAGAAAAGAAAAATTTGATACCACATATTTCGCGATAAAATGAGGCAGCCCGAAGTTCAAGAAGGCCGCTAACTATAACACCGGCTAACCCATGTACTACCATCATATTACTATTATTACTTTTCCCTAGAATTCCTCGTGGAACATACGGCTTCAGTAGCACGCCTCCATTGCACTCTGTTCTCTGCAATCTTTTCAACCTGACTCCATGACTGTCCAAAAGCTTTTATTTCTTACTCGCATGATCTCCTCCTTGTCACCCTCAGCTGGGACGCCCAACTCGTTGTTTCCCATTTGGATTACACTCGACAATCTGGTCTGGCGCGTGATGTCCCCAGTCGGTCACCTCAGTGTATCCCCAATCCATCTCCACTTCCTTCCGCATATTTGTTGGGCGATGGGTTCTTGGTCGGTTTGTCACCAGTCAGAGTTCCCTGTTGCTTATTATTATTCTGGCCATCTGATCTTCAGTATGGAGTGAGTGTAGGCGGCAGCTATTGATGAATGTCTGCAGCTTGTTGGAAATGCTTTTTGTAACGGGCCAATTCTCTCAACCATCGCATAGAAACACTGACTTGATATTCGTCTTGAAATCCTGATCTCGTTCTTTATGCCGAGTGCATTGCAGTAGATCTCCACACTGGTTTCAGATTAATCAAGGCCCGTCTTGCTTTTCCAATCCTGGCTTTGACATCCGCGTCTATGCCGCCACCAGTAGTTGGAACGATGCTGTCTAGGTAGATGAAACACACTACTTCCTTTAGGTTTCTCCCGTTGATGGTGACTGGTGCTCGTTATTGTTGTTGTTGTTGTTGGTGGTGGTGGTGGTTGGGTACCTTCATCACCTTCGTCTTCCCACGTTCACTTGAAGTCGCGTCTTCTCTGCCTCGCCTCTTCTGTCAACTTGTTGGTTTTCGCCTGTAGATCTTCGAGTTTGTGCGACATTAGACATAAGTCATTACCGGCCGCGAAATCCAAATCCTCTAGGGTCTTTTCATCAGTCCAGCGTATATCCATCTTCTCGCTCTTCACTGATTGTTGCACCATCCAGTTTGGTCGACCACAATCAAGAAGACCATTGGTGAAAGTACCCGACAACCTTGTCTTACTCCTGTCCAAACTTCAAAGGCGTCACTGAGCTTTCCATTCTGAATCACTCGGCATGTGTAGAATCACTTAGCATAGCATATAGCTGTTGAATAAGGTTGATAAAGGTTTGTGGCACTAAAACCGTAGTGTTGAAGCAGCTGCCTGCCAAATTACTTCTCGGTAGACTCTACCAAAGGCCTTTTCAAAATCGATGAAGTTGAGGTAGAGAGTTGACTGCCATTCTATGTTCTGTTCTATGATGATGCGTTGCGTAGCGTTGCAGTTTGATCCGCACATGATTTGTTCTTCCCGAATCCAGCCAGCCTGTTTCGGTCGTAACTTTGAACCCAGAGCATTTTCGTTTTGGTCTCTCCAGGATGATGCGGCCTAATATTTTGCTTGGGGTGGACAGGGGTGTAGCAAGATTCCGCTCGGGTTCTCGCAAAGACTTAGGTTGCCCTTCTTTGGAAGTTTGACAAGGTAGCCCTTCTTCCAATCAATAAGCAGGTACCTTTCCTCCCCTCCTTCCAAACCTTCTGCGGTAGTGGTGACAGCATGTCCGTTGCTGATGTCTCTGCTCCTGTTTCCAGTGCTTCTGGAGGAATTAATTCTGGTCCTGCCGCTTTCTAGGATTTGAGCAGCTTTATGGCGTTCAGGACTTCACTTCGGCCTCTGTCAGACGGCTTGTGTTCACTGGTAATTCTGTGGCTGAGCTGATGATGGTATTTATGGACGAGTTACAGGTGGTGGTGGCCAACGCAAGAGTTTTGTGAAGTGGTCAGCCCATTAATTCCTTTGTTTCTCCTCTTTAGTAACTAAGTTTCCTTCACCATCTTTCATCGATTTCGTCTGCGTTGAACTGTCCCCTCCTAGATAGTAACCTGATCATTCGAGTGTTGTCAGGTCTCTGTCTCTTCTACCTGCAGCCGGTACTGCTTCACTTGCCAATGTGTCGTGAAAGCGTCTTTTGTCTTTGCGCACACTCTTCACTTCTTTGTCCTACATCTGCTCCCCTTTTTGATCTGATCTTGTGTCCAGTCAGCTGCGTCTCCACTTTCTTCACATTGAGATGAAGTCGATTTGATTTTTGGTGTGTCCATCTGATGAAATCTATGTCGCTTTGTGAATATCCTTGTGTTTGTAACACTGACTCCCATCACCAAATCGTGGAACGTGTAGAAGTCCACAAATAGTTCTTCATTCTCGTTTAAAGCACCGAGTTCTTCTCGACACACGATTGGTTCTTTTCCAGTGTTGTCCACTCCCAGTTTGGCATTCATGTCACCCCACCCTCTAGAATTTTGATGTCACCAACTGGGATGTGGTCTTGTCCAGTACCAATTACAGTTGTCTGTAGAATCCCTCATTCTTCTCTTCATCTACATTATTTGTAGGTGAGTAGCGCAGCATTGTATGATTTTGACTTTCATTCCTTTTGAGTTGAATCTTCTGTCATGATCCTGGAGGAGACTGGTTCCCACTGCATGAGAGCCTTTGATGTTCTTGGAGACATCACATGTACTACTCATTACAATAAATAGTGTGATCCAATAACCTCGTGTATAGATTCAAACATTAGGCTATAAGCCACATCCATCCACTATGCAAGTTTCTGATTGTTCAGGTTAAAGTAGGTGTAGTTTAACGAATGACCCAATTTTTGGCAGCTTAATTAACCCACCTTTTTTTATCACCTGGATATGATTATTTACCATGCTTGTACCGACTGAAAAGCATCGAGATAATCTTATTAAACCTAATCCAGAGAAAATAAAATCAGCTTGAGAAACAAATTAAGAAGATATTTATGAAAAACAGTCCTTAGTAAACATCAATATGCAGAATATTATCGACTGGACACATTTCAGTTATTTAAAAGCTTGGATACAACACGATACAAATAAATGAAAATAGGCAGTGGAAATAGTATAAAAGTTTTTCTTTTAATTAGTATATCAATTACATCAAAAAATTGATAACATACTAGAGATGGAATACGCAGAGTTGGAGAGTATTTGCAGTGCTCCTCCAACATATCAAGCGTTGGCTTGATATCTACATCAGAATGAGCATGCTTTTTCAATCGATCTTCATCAGTTTGTTCATCATTTTGTGAAGCAGCAAACTGAAGCATTAATTCGGTCAGTTTATTCATTGAATTATGTGTTTCATATTCAGATTTTAGAAGAGATATTAGTTTTACAGAAAGAGTAGATCGACTGTGTTGAACAGGTTTACCAGATACCCGTAAGTAACGTACATGAAATGCATTCCATATCTGTCGGATAGCTACTGCGGCAGTTAAGTCTGAATCCCCAATCAATCTTAGTTGGAACTGATCAGGAATAGATTCACCAGATACACCAGAGACCATTCCATTAACCTAAGAGTTAAACAGCAAAACACATGAAATATAAGTTTGATTTATCTAGAACTATGAGGTTATAACCCTATGATTTTTCAAGCAAGTAATAGGCACGTCACCAATTTCGTGTACACAATACTCAGTAGTTGATCCAAAACGACAACGTTCTAGTTTCTGTTTTATTGTTTTGACATGTTACCCAAGGTACCTACAGGGAAGGGCAGCTTTAAAGGCTACTCTGTCAAGTGCTGAGATTATCAATCAGATTTCGATCTTCTGGGCCAATAAGGTAGCTCCTCATAAAACAAAGAAACCCAATTGGTTATCTCAGCAGTTGCTAGAGCGGTCTGTAAAGTCATTCACAGGATATCAGATTTAAATTTAAATTACTGATAGAGGGAATGGTTTTAAAAATCATTCTAACAACAACTGAGATAATCAATTAGGTTTCTTTATTTCAGCTGAAAAGGCAGATTTTCATAAAACAGAGAATCCCAATTGGTCATGTCGGTTGTTGCTAGGGGGAACCATATAGTCACAATTACCTTTGAAGGTTACCTTACCAACTGCTGGAATAACCAATCAGGTTTCGGTAATTCGGCTAGGAAGTTAGATATTCTTTTTTTTTTAAGAGAGACGTAGTTGGTTGTTTTAGCAGTTGTTGGTCTTTGAAGTCACTCAGAGTCACTCTACCAAGGAGTCAAGTGTAATGCAAGCAAAGGACAAACGTTTGCTTACTATTGAATGCAATGGCTTTTCCTACAACATATTTTAGTCGTTATTTACAGTGATTACATCCAAATAAATAAATGAATCACTAGTGGAGTTATTTTCCATAATCCAAGCGGGTAAACTCCTATTCACATACTAATGCTATTTGCTATAAAAATCTACAAAAGATACGGGATATTAAGAACATGCAGACCATAGTTGTCACGAATGTCAGGGGAAAAATTGAGCCCTGAAACTGATTCAATCATTAGAATTAAAGGGTGGAAATATGAGATATGATATGTGTGCAATCTGACAATCTGATCACACCACTTTCACCTATTCTACTTAATCCGTTAGACACGATCTAATGGAAACAATCTTTGGTAAGTCTAAATTCATAAGGACTGATCTACACCATGGAGGTCATTTGAATGATTTGGAGCATGAAAGTGATGTTGTCCTCCTGGGTGAAATGTTGGAAAATATGGGTATTGTGAACGCGTTGAGCAGAGACCTGAGTATGTTAGGCTGGCATGCGTCCCGCTGGCGTCTGTCAAATGTAGGATGCTGCTGGAGGACTGATCTGCAACTACTCCCAGTTTAATGATGACGAGTGAAGTGTTGGAATGTGTCGACGACTTCATTTACTTGGGGAGTTGCATCAGCTCGACAGGTCTGACTGCTGACGAAATCTCAGCTCGGATGTAGAAGGCCCGTCTGGCATTCGCCAACTGGTGTCATCTATCTCCGCCACCCATTGGTCAGATAGACATCCAACTATCCGACTATCTATCAAAGGACAAGTATACTGAGCTCCAGTCCGTTCTGTCCTGTTATACGGCTGTGAGACATGGCCGTTGAATGCAGAAGAGAGGCTTTTGATGACAGACGTCTTGGTAACATTGCTGTCGTTTGGTGGAATCAGTGTGTGAGCAATGTTGAAGTCAGGCGAAGGGTGCTAGACACGCCGATTGGTGAGGTTGTCAACCGAACCTGAGTTGACTGAGATCGATTGGATTGGATTGAATTGAACATGTACTGCGCATGTCGAGCCACTGCCTACCTCGACGTGCCATGCTAAGGCAAGTTGGATTAGGTTGGAAGAGTGAGTGTTCACGGTGGCTAGACCAAGACCTGGCAAGTTTTAATGTCAAACTAGTCTGCATGTATACCTGATGCACTTGTTCAGAGTCTGAACAATATACAACCTAACAACTGACCTACACAAAATATTTTATGTACCATTTGACGACACATTTAGACTGTTAGTGTAATTTGGATATTCTGCTGAAGAAGCTCCTAATTAAGCAGTGAAACATTCGGAACAATCTTTAGATTTTTAAATGAAGGGATTACGTTAAAATGTCCCAGTGAAAAAATCATTACTGTCTACCAATACACACTGATTAAATGATTCTTCGATGCATACCTGTTCATTCCCAGTTTCTTTGTTAAGCGAATTCGTTTGACAAAAACCAATATTGATAAGCCCACGACATGTTAACTCTTCGATCAAATGGGGTATCCAATGCTCGCATAGAACTATTCGTAGTAAACCGCGAACAAAACAGTGATCAGCTGCAAACCGACTAGTTAGCAGACGCTGGAAATATATGAGAATTATAAAGGTGTCCAGAAAACCAGTATATATACTCAACAATAAAAAAAGAGAAACCCACTCAGCAACCTTATGCACATCCACACAGTAGGTAATGGGGCATACCAACTGTGTGAGGGTTAGTGATACTACCCGGCTGCTTAAACCTCCGTAGGTGAGGCGGTGATCAAAACTGCGACCCACTGGTTGGAAATCAAGTGCTTAGACAAATGAGACGCAGATCCACATAAGCAAATAAAGGGGTTACAATGGCCTGTTAATACTAGCTAGTTAGTTATGCGACTAAACTGACAACAGATCATGTAAACCTATGTTATTAACTATTATGCTTATATAATGGGAATGACGAATATAAAGATTACACACATTTCAAAACCCATGTGTCAACCCATACATACATTGTTCGTATCTACCTGTTTTAATCTACATACTCAGGCATCTTGAGATTTACCCACTGCTATCACACCATCAGTCATGATTGACTATGACTGACTTGAAAGTGTTCTAGTCTTTTTTAAAAGTTCTTTTTTCAAAGTTTGAAATTGAAGCTCTTAACCATGAAGACAGGACAATACTTTTTAAATCTACTAACGATGAACTTGGTTCAAAAGTTGAGATTGGTTGAAAAACAACTAACGGCAGCTAATTTATATGATTATAAAAGATACAGTACAAGTCACTCCAAGAAACAGCACATTGATACTGAATTATGCTGGAAGGCCCAAGTTTTGCATAAAGCATAGTTTACTAATCTGAATATTTTTAAATTGTCGCTTTCGTGCCCGATAGTTCATTTTGCCCCCATTTTCAAAGTAATTCGCTGACTGGTTAATGCTTACTTTTGCCATGTTAATTTCTCAATTTCTGGACAAGGTCATATCTCATGTGTGTATATACACATGTCTTTGAGTTAACTGATTATTGCTATCGGAGGAATAAATTATTCCATCCAGTTCAGTCTTCTCTATTTCGACCTGAGTTGGAATCTGTGAGTCTTGAGTACGAAGTTAGCTTACTTAAGCGTGCGTATTATATCCCCTCGAAATATATAATAGCGTATCACACGGCTTCAGTGGACAACAAATCAAATCGCTAATATGTACTCAAGAAAACACGCGAAGATGAATGCGCGTTATGTTTCAACGGTGAAAACAACACAAGATGATTTCAACGGTGCACCATCCAGCACAGTAAATTCTAATAACTGGACTGAATGGTCCAAAAGGTCACCATGAAATGTTTAGGACCCTTTTGTTAGTAACTAACATTGACATTATGATTACTGTAGTAAGCAGTTGATTTTAGCAAATATTATCGGATAAACTATCAACTATAAAAGTTAACTTTTTCTAAAATTCCGTCCCACTCATCATATAGACTAGAACAAACGTAAACTTTATAGTAAACAGCTGAAAAGTCAATACAATCTGCATGAAACTTACCTTAGGATTATGAAACCATAAACAAAGAACTAGATTTCGAATAGCTAGGTAAAGTGTTGGAAAACTAGAAAAAGGAGGTACGAAAAAACACAAAATCATAAGGCTCCTCAGAGTTTAAGTAGTAAAAGTCTACGTATGCATATAAGTTGAAACTATATAGTTTGAACGCCATCATAACTGAGAAGAACTACAAACAAGGTAGCGTAATATCACTTGTTATTTCACGTTGTTGATTGGATTGGAATGAACTGATCGGTCACGGTTAACATACGCGTTCTCGTGAGAGTCTTGACATAGCCCGTAATTTCATTTTGACAGTAAGCATAAGTAGTAACTAATGACAAGGTTTAGAACGCGCATTTTAACAGGAACGTTCACTGGGAGCCAAGTATGCTCAAGTAACAGGTCCTAAACAGGACAAAACAAGCGTCCTAGAATTTACTACTGGCTACCATCTTTATCAAAACCACACCACAATATTTGGCCTCTGTTCAACAAAATTGGAAATGCTCTTTACAAGACGCAGAGAAAGTAGGACGTTACAACCATCGAGTTGTGCGCCAGTGAGGTCGTCGGCATACATTACTACCATCGCAGTGGAAAATAAAATGGCTTAATCATTTGAGGTTTTGCCCGAAGACCAAGTAATGGATGCATCAAGTCATTGGGTGATACCTTGCCAGAGTTACTAGGACAGATCTGTGCGCTGAGATGGAGAAGAATTTTGGTTTAGGCGAATGATTTTGATATTGCATTTTTCGAGCTAGATAGTCTCATTGCTCTAAACAGTATCAGGAACGTTTAGTTTGAATATAAATCAATATATAGTAACGATATGATTCAATGTAATGTAACCTTCCTTATCGGAAGTAATGAAGAAGTAAGCCATTTCCAGCTAGTATGTAGACAAACAACTCATCAGTTACCAATATAATGTCGTGTTTCAAATTACTCTGTTATGCTGAATGGGATAGCATTAAAAAACCATCTGGATTTTTAATCAGAAACCGATGGAAGTTGATTGGAATACAGAAAATCCTAGACAAGTCCAAACTTAGTGAAAATAATTTTTCCGATAGAAAACAGAATAAATGTAAATTTAAAATTAAATCAGGCTGATACTTACCGGACATCTCGAAAATGCAAATCTTTCCCAGGTATCCAAGTTGACTGGAGAAAATACTCCATCTTCTTCAAACACTTTAAAAGGACTGTTTGAGGGAGCTAAATGAAAACAAAACAAGGGGGAATATCATTATAAAACAAGCATACATAAGGCAACTCACCACAATGCAGCAATGCAAAAACAAGAAGATGAAATGCGCTAGTGACGATACACAAGTCACTTTGAGGGATAGAAAATGAGGTGAATATAACAACACCTCAAACAAATTTCAAACTTTTTTATGGATTTTCTTCTTCAACTGACAAACTGATAGAACATTCCTAAAGCAACGTTTAAAACATGAGGATTCGAGCAAATACTGTTTTCCGTTAAAGTCCCAATACGCTCAGCACTTAAATAAAATAATCCACGCTGAGAAATACCCACGCATTGAATGGCTACAAGCATAAATTTATTGGCAGCTATCTGTATAAATCACTCAGTTTGAGATCAACCTGCGTAACCGTTTAATACATCGGATTTCCTATAACACTAGTGGAAGAAAGATTCATAGAGATACCGACCAAACAAGAAAGTTGTATTACGATTGAAAAACATAAAAAGCATAACAGTGGTATTTAAGGTCAAGTGAAAATGGAAACAAAGATGAAAACGTCATTCAAAAATGAAAATGCCAAATACGAAAAATATAGTAAATGTACATCATGGTATATCACTAATATAAGAACACAAACATGGCATAACAAGGGCATGAAATGTGCCACACAAAATAGTGTTACATTATTTTGAAGACATAAAGCGAAGGGAAGTAGACAAAAAGAAAATCACAATCAGAATAGAATGATTAAAAGAGCAGTCCGATTAGATACATTTAAAACAAAACATTCATTCCACATCAGCAGCAGAAGATAAAAAGAAGCTACAACATGACAGCTAGTTACTCCTTACTCAACATGAATCTTCCAGCCTAACACCACACAAACGAGACGACTGTTGATGGGGAACGTTGGAGGTGGCGAGCTTAAACAGTATGCATGATTTGAGGATAGCTGTATCAGATGTCGTACTGGAGGACAGCTCTATGAGAGCAGATGTCTAACGACTCAAAACAGTTCAGAAAGACCAGAAATCCAGGCAATGGAGAGCAGCTGAGTGAAGAAGATAAAGACAAAAGCGAAAACGGTAGTAATAATAATAATGAAGAAATTAGAGTTCATGTGTAAAAACAACGAAAACAATATAACAGCGATAAATTGAGCAGTCGGAAATAAAGTTCGTGGTGCGGGGAGCTTGCGTATTCGCGGGAATGTTGGTTAATTGCTTTGAAATCTTCATTTTCTATCGTGATTCATATTTTATGTTAGGGCTAGGATGCCATCTGGGTGCCAAGACCAAAGGGTGATTGTCTTAGGAGACCACTCCCTGAGCTTTCGACTTAAAGTCTAATCCTCGAGGTAGTGGAGCAATATCACGAACTTTATTTCCGACTGCTCAATTTATCGCTGTTATATTGTTTTCGTTGTTTTTACACATGAACTCTAATTTCTTCATTATTATTATTACTACCGTTTTCGCTTTTGTCTCTATCTTCTTCACTCAGCTGCTCTCCATTGCCTGGATTTCTGGTCTTTCTGAACTGTTTTGAGTCGTTAGACATCTGCTCTCATAGAGCTGTCCTCCAGTACGACATCTGATACAGCTATCCTCAAATCATGCATACTGTTTAAGCTCGCCACCTCCAACGTTCCCCATCAAAAGTCGTCTCGTTTGTGTGGTGTTAGGCTGGAAGGTTCATGTCGAGTAAGAAATAACCGGCAAGAGAAATGATATCTCTTTGTCATCTCTGTCTAAGCTCCGACAGATACTAGTCCGGATCCAAAAAGAGTGTTTCCTATCATCAACTGAATCACCTTCTCGACCAAATGCGCTCGACACATATCGTAGTGCTAGCTGGGATTTGAAAGCACAGGTCAAAAGTCAAGGTTGAGGAGAATCATTTAAATGGCCAATGGGGACTAGTTGGACGCAGGTCAGTTAATGGGGATCGTCTTCTCCAGCTCTGCGCAGACCACAACCCATTTTTTCTAGCTAGTACCAACTTCCCCACACAGCCATCGACGTCGTGCTACCTGGCGTCCTCCCTCTGACACTCAAGCATGGACTCAAATAGGTCATATTGCAATCACCTACCGACGGCGTGTGCGCATACAGGACTGCCGCTCCATATGGAGTACTTATATGGACTCCGATCATGCTTCGGTGTGCTAAACCTGTCTTGCGTTTCCGTAATCATCAAAATCGTCGTCACAAACAGGTTGATGCAAGCAAACTAGCTCCACCTAACACTGCAGCAAATATCAATACGATTTAGATTTGAGACTGGCTACCGATCCTCTAGAAAGTGTAGACGAGTACTCACCGCGCTTTCAAGATGCCACGAATTGCAAGTAAAGCTGTTTGTGGCTGGGGAGAACGTCACACCAATAACAGTGGGTCTCTGCGAGCTCTCTACAACTTCTCGACGCTTGTTGGACGGTTCCGGAGGATAGCAACACCAATGGTTCGCGTAAGTCCTTTATACGAAAGGTTACACAACGCTTACACAAGGACTGTGAGACGTGGTGGTCAGAACATGCGAGTGAGATAGAAGCAGCGGCTGCATCTGGCAGTAGCCCGAAGCTGTTTCCAGATCACCCCAGTCACTGACAGCAAGCTATCTGGTGTTAGTGACACGGTCTGTGAGGAAGATGATACGCCGATAAACAATCTTCAAAGACGCCTCGAACGCTGGGGGGACCACTTTGTCCTCCACAGTCAGTTAACACTGAACCCCCTGACGAAACGGAGGTCCGTAAAAAACTCCAAGGTCTGAAACGCCACAACGCACCCGGCCCATACAACTTAACCCACATCGCATCAAAAACACTGGTTGCTTTCTGACTTCCCAAAACGTCTGAGTAAATAATTGACCAGAAGGTCGTCAACGCATTATTCATGTGTTTACCCTCAACCAGATGCTCCAACACCGCCACACGTTTTGCAGGCCAGTAATAGCTGTGTTTCTTGACATTATGCCTGCCTTCGATTCGTTGAATAGAGCTGTGTTCTGCAATTTTCTGTTATACAGGGGTGTGTCTGAGAGATCTATTCACATCTTGAAAGCCCTATGTAATAACACCTTAGGTAGATTCAGGGCATACAAACACCTATCTTCACTGTTACAAACCACCAATAGCGTTAGGCAGGGTTGCCCGACTTCTACATTCCTCTCTAACTTTGCTATCAATGACATTTTTGAGACAGCTCTGAAGGAGGTGCGAAATGGTGGTGTACATCCACTACTTGGAGAACAGTTACTCCACCTGAATTTCCAACGATATCGTCCTAATGTACGATAACACAAGCTACTCAAATCGTACTCAATCAGTTGACGATTAATTTCGGTAAGGATGGTATGAGCTTTGCACCATCAAAGTGCAAACTACTCTTACAAGATTGGAAGTAGTAGTTGTGTGAGTGTTGGTGGAGTTGTGAACGGTGAAATTCCTAACCAATATCGAAAGCCAGAGTGGCATACACCTCGTCATGACGTTAGTCTGACCGTTAAAGGTCGGGTGTACAACGCTTCGGTGCGAGTGATTCTGCTCTATGTCTGTGAAACCTAGCCTCTTTAATCTGAGGATGTGCGATGAATCTGTGTTCGGTCATCATTGTCTCCGTAGGATTGTTCCTATTCCGTGGCAACACCATGTAAGTAATTCTGAGGTACTACAGCGCGGGTCTGGGCATGATCGAAATAGTCATTCACTAAGTGAAGTCATCTGAAACACCGGCTTCGGTGGCTTGGACTCAACCGACAGCTCCTACCTTGACGTAGTTATCGGGTTTGCATATCACAATGACCCAACAAGCTATGTTGGTGGAACACTTGTTACCTCACGGTCCAACCACACCAGAAAGATTTGTTGAATAGTGGTTAGACGAAAAGCAGTTACCGTCATAGTGTAAATTGCTACACTATGATGGGGGTCTGAGGGCGAAGTCGTACTGCTGCTAGCTGGATGGGGTGTGACGACAGTAAGGTGTTTCCCTTGGATGACCAGCAGTGCTATGCTGATGCTACCTTCTCAGTGGAAGGGGGGTTAGAAAAGGTCGGCCCCAAAAATAACACACTCCACCATACCCCACGGTCTGCCGGGCCGGCAGTGTTGGTTCACTTGTCGTTTCTTTTCGACCATCCGGCCCCAAAAATACAAAAGTTCAAAATAATCATACTCAAAAGGCTTCGTGTGACAGGCCTCAAGCAGATGTCCGATGGGCTCTGCGGCCACACAAATCTCTTTCAGGTACCTTAAGAAGAAATAGCCTTCCACGGTGTGGGCAGTCGGGAAGTGTCAACCGCCCTCACAACTCTGTCAGCACTCAAGTTTCTTCCGACTGCTATTCACCTCCTCCATCATTACCTTCTAATCTTCCTTCACGTCTCTTAATTAATGATGCTGCATCATCTTCAATTTCTCCTAGCTCTACAGCCTTCGACAACGATCCAGGTCCACAGAACACCATCCCTGGTCTCCTTAAACTGCGCTCCAAATTAAACATCGGGACCTTCAATGTCCATACCCTCCGTCTAATCGGTCAACAGGCTTCGTTAGCAAAGACTCTAGCAACTCTGGGCATGGATGGGTGCTATGTTTGTGATACACGTATACAGGACCCAAGTGTGGTTATTCACCTGACTTCTCCCGGCCAATCTAGTAAATCCGCAAAATTCACCCTTCGAGTTTCTGGAGATTCGATGGCTAGTTCTCGTGGTCTTAGAGGTGTAGGCATAGCATTGAGCACTAGGGCAGAAAGCTCAATATTAGACTGGATCCCAGTCGATAGTCGCCTCTGTGCTGTCCGGTTGAACGGTACGGTGGAAACTAAAAGGACTACTGAAACTTGCTGTTGTCTCTTTGTAATCTCTGCTTACGTACCCACTGACTGCAGTTCGGATGAAGTGAAGGACGAGTTCTACCGAAAACTGTCTAGCCTGCTTTCGAAAGTCAAACGCTCAGATGTGGTGGTTGTTGCAGGTAATTTCAATGCACAGGTG